CCACGTGATAGTCATATATGAGCACATCTTTGGGTGTATTGAGTCGGAAATAGTTGGCCACAACTTTGACGGGAGCGCCGCCTTCGCCGCTCTTCACCTTCACGTGCGCTGGAATTGTACGCAAGAGAGCCGCTCCTCTATAGCCCGCCCGACCCCTAACCGAACCGCCTGTGCGTTCACAGAGAGAATGGGTTCGTTATAATCAGTCCATAAACGCGGCTATAAATGTGCAAACAGTGATACATACCCTGATCACCATTGCCTCCTCCGTTGCCACCGTTGCCGCCATTCCCTCCCTCGGACAGAGGGGGCGGCTCTGCGACGGTTGTGGGCCTATCAGTGAATGCAAATACAGTCAATCAATCAACCAATCGATGGCACGGATTGTGTTCATCGCATACCTGCCACGGGCTCGGCCTCGGGAACGACCCGCTCCTACGCTCTCGTCAGACATTTAGTTGTGTTGCGTTGTGTCACGTGATCTGATGGACGCAAACAGATTGGGATCAGTACTCAACACAAGTAACCAATATTTAGACCTAAACTCAAAATAACCCAAAATATAACACAAAAACCCAAACCTGTATTGAGTGCCCAAAAAGTGAGAGCACTGTATAACTGGTCTTTGTTTGGGACCTATTTCTTGGAAATAATGCCTCAAAAAGTGCTTTTATGATGAGTAGTAAAGTGTGTGTTCAGGCATTGGGTCCAAAGTGTATGTCACTGGATATACCAGTGCTGCACAACCACTCCCTACCAGTGCCCCCAACACAGGCCATAGCATACCCTATACTGGACACCAACTCATCACTCACTACCCCCTCCCCCGACCCCTACAAACACAGCATAGAGTGTGTGTCCACTCATTGCTATCGCATTACTACTCATTTACCTATGAATGCAAAACCAATGACTATTGTATTACTGTTTAAGTTTAGGTCAGAGTTTAGACAAAAACACATGTATTTTTTTGATACCCAATACTAACTGTAATTATAAATGCAATTAAATATATAAAAACACAATTAAAAGCGCACAACAAATGAGACAAACAATTAAACTGCGGCTAAAAAAGTGGCAAAAATTATTTGAGTGCCCAAAAAATACACAACAAAAACATTATTTGAAATTAAAAAGTGATGCAAAATAAGCGCATAAACAACAGCACAGACTTCAACGGCAAAGCCCTCTCAAAGCCCCCCAAAAATACATTACAATTATATAAATGACATGACATTACCTGCGGGTTAAACGATATGTCCAGTGAATGGCCGCTATTGGGGGTAATTACTGATTGGTCGGAGTAGTGGTCACAAAATGTGATCCAGTATTGAGTGTCCAAAGAGTGGGAGAAAAGCAGTTATGAGAGAGTAATGGCGTGAATGTATGGCAACACATGAGACTCTCTCCCATACTGTCAATGCATTCAAACAGTTGATGTGTTTCGTCTGTACAGCACTACAACCAATCACATGTCTCCGCGCCCTCTCTCTCACACACACAGACCACGACATCTATGGGCGCCCACCATAACAGTGGTCTCCCGAAACACTGGCCACTGGTCTATGACGTGCGACCACCCGATCGGCAACACTATACACATTAAAATACAAAACACTATAATTGAAATCAATTTTTAATTAAACACACCTTAAAAACAAAGTTAAGATTAAGTCTACATTTAGAATGAAATTAAAGTTTTAATAAGATATTTGAATACATAATAATGACAATTATAAGTCAAATGTAATTAAATATTTAAGTAATTAACAAATTTATAATAATTTCAATAATAATAATAATATCGATAATTGTTTGATTTGTTTGAATTGTTTTGAGATTATAAAAAAAGTAATTAATAATTAATTGTTTGATTCGTTTGAGATTATAAAAAAATGACTAATAATTAATTGATTGATTTGTTTAAAAAATTTTTAAGAATTGGTTAATAATTAAATAATAATTAATTTGTTGATCGTTGTCTGAAAATGTAAAGTCATTGATAATTATGAGTAAATGACTACAAATAGAAGAGACGATCGCAGAGGATATCACTCGGCTCTCGATGAAGACTATTTCCAGTAAGAAAAGCCAATTTGTGAGCGTATTGACACGGGGCCGGCACTCGCACTGTTCCCTATCATTACATAATACAAACATAACATTAAAACCATATAACAATCAATGGGTGGGAGAGCACAGACCTGCCAATTGTAGTACAGATGAGTCAACTTATAGGCCAACTGTTGGTGATGTTCGGGTTTGAAGCCGGACTCGTCGTGAATAATGTTGTACATCGTGGGCGCAACGGTTCCCTGTCTGACGGACTGCGAGATTAAATAAAAGTCGTATCTCGAAGTACGGGTCACAGTCTTGTCCACAATAGTTCCGGGAATGGGATTATCGGGTCTCTCGGCGGTGAAGAATCGGGCGTTAATACGTTTGGTTACGATCACAAACGACAGTTTCGGCGGATCAACGGGTTTGATCTGCTTTAGCGCAGCCACCACTTGCTTCAACTCCACGTTATACACGTGATTGATCTGCCCTTCGCTGACACCGTCCCGATAGATGATAATACGGTTGGGAAGCGATTTATTCACATCGAAATAGCGCTTAATTCCCTCTAAAAGTACATTTCAAAGTGAGTCACAATTAGCATAACATATGAGACAAACCCTTTATATTATGAGCGAAATTGTTGGACATCTCGTTGTCGTCCTCATGGAAGGTCACCCGCGAGTGCCAAGAGCTGAGCCGTTGGTTTAGACTCACAACGAAGCCGCCGGCGGAGCGCTTTCTGTTGGCCGAGTCGTGATAAGTGTCGTATCCAACGACCATCAGATCCTTGGGCTAGAAATCAAAATACAAATCAATGCAAAACACATTTGGGGGCAAAACAGGCAAAACACTTACCGGTATCTTCAGAGTCCAGGGCTCGGCGCCGAGTTTGGTGGCCATTTGGATCACTATTTTGGTGCACACAGACATCAACCGCTGCTTATTGAGCAAATTCTTGGCCACAATCACTTGCGATGGCATCGGTTTCTCGCAGTAATTCACTTTCTTGATGGCATCGTAACGCTCTTTGTTATTATTAGGCACAATAATGACCGCCATTTCACACGGCGGCGCCAGTTTGTTGCACGCGTCCACGAATGAGCCGATCCGGTCGTTCTGCAACACTTCCGTCCGCGGGTTCAGCAGTTGAATGCCGAGCGGACCCGCGACTCGAGTGATTGTGTTCATGAACTCCTGGAGGCAGTTCTGGTCGCGTTGAGTCAGAATTATCATCCATTTGGTGATTGTGCACGACTTGTACAGGCGTTTAGAGCGGATCTCTTTGCCAAAATCGCCCGACCGTTGGTTGAAGAGTGCGGCCGAGTTGTCGGTATCGCCGTTCATGTATATGCGCTCACACGGCAACACACGGCCCGCCACTTGAACCAAGTTCTTGTCAAAGCGCAGATCCCATTGAGCCATGTCTTCGATCACCTTCTCATTTGTGGTCAGTCTTGTGATGAAGTTTCTCAAATTGTTGGCGCGATCTAAGGGTTTGAGTCGCGAAACGTCGCCAATCTTTTTCATCAAATTAAAGTCGGCTCTCATTTGATCGGTGAGACCAGTCATTTGGCACAACTCGGGTACCAACAGATACTTAGAGGTACGGCCGGCTCGGCGGTCGCGTTGGTTCGGCAGACACTCGATCAATGGCTGATTCTTCACTTTGATAGTGATGTTGTGGTGTTGCTTATAATAGGTCAGCAAATTCATAGACACGCCATTCCTGTCAAATGTGGCCGTTTCGGGGTTCTTGTCGGTCACCAAATCGTCCACTCGATAGGTCTGATTGTTGTATTGAGTCATCACAATCTGACCGCAGATGGTCTTCTTGGCGTCGTCGAGCCATCCCGAGGGGTTCTTATTGCGCGCTTCGCCTAACAATTGCAACACATTGTTCGCCCGAACAAACTTCGTGGACGAGTCCACGACCATCATTATGCCGGCGTCGTGTTCGCCAACGGCCGTCACAACGCCCGGCAACAGTCGGATCTTGAATTCGGGCAAATCCTGACCGCTCTTCACGTCGTAGTGGTTGCGGCCCATCAGGACGTACCCGATGTAGCGCAAGAATGTGCGCACCTTTGTGTTGTACATCCGCATCATCTCCTGCGCCCCCCACGGCACCTCTTCGGTCCAACGGATCTGGATGTTCACGTTTTGGTCGGCGTCGGCCGGATTCTTCACCACGTGGTTCCGTTCCTCTCGGTTCTCAGTCAACGACTTGATGTTCGACATGCCGTCGAAGATGAACGACGCGTCAAACAGGTCTTTGATCCCGTATATCATCTTTCGCCGCAAATCTGTGGCCTCTATCGACGGCTCAAACGTCACGTGAAAGTTGTTGATCACAACATTGGTCGGCGTTTGGAGTCGGAAGTAATTGGACAACAGCTGCACCTCTTCGCCGATAATGCCTATGGATTGTAAAGTGATTAATAAGTGAAGTGACAATCGGTGTCAACCAATACATACCGTGATAGCGATCCATCCCTGCGGGACGAGTGTGGAGTTCCCCACGATATCCACCCCTTCCTGCAAACCAATCAAATATATAACAATTGTCAACACGACTACAAGAGTGGTCAACGGGTGTCATACCTCTCACCGCTCCCTCTCCTTCACCAGAGCCGCCGTTGCCATTGCCTACAAAACAAGTAAATCAGTTAAAGCATTGCTGGCATACACTGTACGACAAGACATACCGCTGCCGTTGCCGTTACCACTGCCAGTGCCGGAGCCGTTGTCACCGGTGGGCGATATCCTCATGCCCTGCATCGACGGCTCGGCCGCTAATAGGCTTTCAGCGGTGGCGGTGGCGGCGGTCGCCCTCCCTCTGGCCCGACCGCGCGAACGACCGGTTCCTGAGTCTCTTCCCGACGCATCCATTGCTTAACTGTAATTAAAAAGTTGTAATTAATTGAAACTATAATTAATAAAACACGTGTTATTAGAAAATAATTAAAAATGATTGTTTAGTCAATACGTTTTGTTAAATAATTTAACGTTAGTTAAGCTATAGTTTAGTTATTAAATGAGTTAATTATAATTAAGTAATTAATTAAACGCTAATTACTGTAATTAAAACTTAAAATGAAATCAAATGTAAAAAAATACAAAAATGTAAAAAATTGGTCAATTTGTTGGTCTAATAAAGTGTTGAAAATAATTATAATAAAAAACAATTTAAAATCAAATCAAAAGTATTACTAAAAAAACTAAATTCAAAATCAAAATCAAATTAAAGCTAATTTTGGTGTCAATTATTTGGCTCACAATCACTGACTCTCTCTCACGACTCGACTGAAGGCAATGCAATCAAAACCGCGGTTTATATGGGGTTTGCGAAGCGTTTCACTTATTTTTAATCCACAAAACAGTAATAAATAAAAAAACTTTGTGTACTCTTTGTGTACCAAATAATGCCAATCAAAGCAATCAAAGCAATCAAACTGTAAGTATTGCGCGCCTTATCACTCAAACTCTCAACTCTATTAGTCAGACAACACAACGCACTGTAAGGCACACATCACTGCACGCATTGCGCTCTATTGTCGCACACACTGTACTCCACTGACCCGTTGTCAACGCTATGGCCAGTACTGCGCGATAAGGTATGTATCGGTGCGATGAGTCACGAGTGTTGAACTCGCGGTTTATTTGGTCAAAATGACATCAATTTAAGGATTTTTAAGT